TGAATGGGATTAGTGCTGTTGTAAAAGAAACCCCACAGAGCTACCTAGGCCCTTCCACCCTGTGAGGACGCAGTGAGAAAGTGCTGACTATGGACCAGGAAAAGGGTCCTCACCAGAACACAACCATGCTTTTCTTTCTGTTTTGTCACTCATCGCCATCTGACGCACTTTGTATGTTACTTAATTTTGAGTATTACCTGTCTCCTAGACTATAATGTAAGCTCCATAAGAGCAGGGGACTTTCCCTGTTTTGTCCACTGTTGTGTTATCAGGGCCTAGAACAGTGTTTGAAATAGAGTGCGTACTCAGTAAGTGAATGAATGAATGCATCCCCTAATACCACTTACTACACTGTATTGTCATTTATCTGTTCATGATAAGTACACAGTAGGCACTCAGTAAATATTTGCTGAATGAATAAATGACAAAAGCCTTTCATAAACTATAAAGCACACAGTGCTTTATCATTAGGAAATGGCCACCCTGTTCCCCTCTAGGTCACAAGGATGAGGCTGCTTGCTGCTATTCCTAAGAACTGCCTCCGCCCTTTATCCAAGAGGTGACACGTTATTCTTATCCCCACATCTCCACCTCTGGCCACCCCAAAATCAGTTAAAGCCTCTGATACAACTGGCACTTTAAAGCCAGTTTCCAGACTCTGTGGTCAACCACGTGGGAGCTCAGCCTGTACCCCCACCCACTTCCAAGTACCTGCCTGAACACTGGTGGCTCTGGTTTAACCTCCACACCCATACCCATGGTTGACCTGATATCTAAAGCAATTTACACTCCCCAAAACACTTTGTGCACAGTTTTTTCATTGTTAAGAGTCACCCAGAGCTCCACAAGCGCACAGGATGGATGGAGGGTCTCCACACCAGTGCTGCTGGTATCAACACCTCCATTTTCTAGGTAAAGAACCAGAGGCCCATAAAGGTAAGTAAGTGATTAGTGCAGGATTATGTGCCTAATAAGTGATAGCTTGGGGCTGGGATTCAGATTCTCAGAATCCAAGTCTTTTTAGCCTATTGTAAAGGCACTTGTACACAATCCAACTAGAAAATAAATAAATGTGAATAAATGAATATACTGCACGTAGAACTCTAAATTAGCAAAGAGAATGCATATTCTTTGCAATAATGAGCAAGGGCAGCACACAAAGGGAGTTTTTCTCTCAGTTCCTATACCATTAATTGTGTCTACCATTTACTTGGCATGGAGTTCACCCTATGCAAGGAACATAATAATCACATAAAGCCTTGAAACCATAACTAAATATTTCCCAGAGTGAGACACCCCGCTGCGTAGAGGCAAGGGAATTAGTGACTTGTATTGGGGAGTGGGGGAGACAAGGGATGAAAAGCAATCATTAGTAACATCCCTTCATTCTCCTCATTTAAACTGTGGGAAACCAAGGAGAGGGTTTGGCTGAAACCTATTTCTTTATCCATTAATTTATTAAGCCTGCCATTCATTTAATAATCCTGCAAGTTGTGTATTCATTGAGAACTTTGTAGCACAAAAGTCTGCTAATGGGGGTTGCAGCCAAATAGTCATCTCTAGGGGAACTTACAGGCTACTAAGAGAAGATATGTACATGCATAGTAATGACTGAAAGTTGAAAAGAGTTAAGTGTTATGAGGAAGGTGCAAAGAAGGACGTAGGGGATTCCAACGCATGAGAGAACACTTCCAAAATTGGGGACTAAGTAATACCTTTAGAGAAATGGGGCTGGTGGCTGGGCCTTGAAAAATGAGTAGTATCTGGGCTTGAGATTGTTAGAGAATGGGAGGGGGAAGGTAGGTGGTGGTGAATTCTGAGAGCACCTTGGGGGAACATTGTGCAGCCTGTCCTGAAAACAATGAGTTTTGCAGTGTGGCTGGACTGCAAGAGAGGAAATGTGGGCACCAAGGCTGCAGAGGCAAGTTAGGGCTAGCTTCTGAGTCACCCAGAACTCCATGAGCGCACAGGATGGATGGAGAAGAAATGGGGCTTCTTAGTAAGACTCAAGCAGGCTTCCCTGAGCCGCCCCCCACCGCCCCCCACCCCATGATAGCCTCCCCGTGGTGCCTTCTGGGAATAAAACAGCCCAAATGAGTTTCTCTGCACATTCAGTTCCAGCTTATTTTTATGCAAGGCACATTCAGTGTCTAGGGAAAGACTGCACCATAGCAACAGGCCAGGGCCACGCCAGACCCAGTGCTTCTCTTTGGCTAGATCAAGGGCAAGGACCTCTGCTGGATGGCTACAGCCTGGGCGTGCTTCGCATTCCCAGTGCAGCACCATTCAGCCATAGGCCCAATGGAGTTTTTCGTTCAGTGGGGCATCTGGGTACTTCAGCTTATCTTCAAATGAAGAATTTGCCTGGGCCCCTCTAACTGGCAAGTCCATTTTATCTCAAATAGCCTTATTTTCTGAACATGTCTCTCTGCTTGGGAGGTCTAAGCTGGAAAGAATTATGTAGAAGGCTCAATTATCTTAAGGGTTCGCCTTCATCATCCTATTCACCCCCTTCTCTTTCCCTTTAGGGATATGTATCATGCTGCCGTGAGGCTCTGTACAGGATGAAGGCTCTAGTGAAGCCATTTCCACATGTAATTTTGTTCCTGGCTTATTGCCCTGTCACTATTTCAATCTCTTTTCTTAACAACAGCCGGAGTGATTTTCCTTAGGAGGTTTAGTTAACCAAGAGCTCAATATGCCTTAGAAATATGATGTGGTTGCCAACAAAGTAGTTAAGGCAATTTCATTAGAGAGGGCCCGGAAGGAAGGTGATGAGAACTTTTGTTCTGCTTTGCTGCTCCACCCTGGCAGACAGGAGCACTACCATGCACGAGCATGCTGCAGGTGAGGAGGGAAAGGGAGCATTGCCCTTGGAGGCTGCAGCCACATTAGCCTCCTGATAGTTCCTCCACAGATCAGGCACACTACTGCCTCAGCGCCTTTGAATGGCTCTTCTCTCTGCCTGCAACACATCTCCCAATTCTTGACATGCCTCACTCCCTTTCCTCATTAGGTCTCTGCACAGATGTCCTCTTTGCAGACAGGCTGCCCTGACCTCCCTATTTAAAATAATCTCTTTCATCACTCTCTAGCATCCTCTACACTGCTTTGTTTGTCTTTGTGACACTTAGCATCTCCTGACATGTTATCTGTTTCTCCCATTAGAATGTAAGCTCCATGAGCAATGGGTTTTTTGTGTATTTTGTCCACTGCTGTGTCTAGAACAGTGTCTGACCCATAGTGAGGGCTCAATACATATTTGAAAATACAAACTTTGCATAGCATTTACTTCATTGCACTGCAATGTATCTTTTCACTTATCTCCATTAGAATTCTATTTAAAAAGCCTGTTTTTCCTCTTTTTCTTTTTTACATTTTCATTAGTTAGCCAATGCTGGCATAGAATGTGTTGGTTGGATGGATGGGTGGATGTGCTAGCAGAATGTTGCAGAGGGATGTCAAACATTACATGAGGTTGGCCTCGACCCACACCACACAATATGGTAGCCACTAGATACATGTGATTACTGAGCACTTGAAAGGAGATTTGTCTGAATTGAGATTTGTTACAATGTCCAAGGTTTTGAATTTTTGGCAAAAAAAAACTCATGTAAAATATTTCATCAACAATATTTATATTGATTATAAGTTTAAATAATAGTATTTTGGATGCACTGGGTTAAATAAAAGTATTCCTAAAATTAAGTTCACCTGTATAATTTTTTTAATGTCACTACTAGAAAATTTTAAATTACATATGTGACCAACATTATATTTGTATTGAATGGCGCTGCTGTAGAGATTTTTGACAAACTCCATGTTGAAACCCGGAAATTTGCAAGATCAGGAGGTTGTGTGTTTGAGGGGTAGGTAAAGGTGGTTCCTTGTGATTAACACAGAAGAAGGTTCTTTATAATCATTTCTCCTGGGGACTGGTGACAGCAGAGTCAAATAAGCACTATGGTTTATGCACCACCTCATCTTTCTCATTTCTTCTTTTTCTCACCCCAATTTTTCCAGAGCTGCTAGCAACAAGCCAGATCAGATTGTTAGAATTTTTCATGTCCTTTCTAACTCCTGCCCACACATACTTTCCCTGATGGTGACAACAATGAACAGATGAATGGTCCAAAGGTGAGCTACAAATTGGAAGAAAATCTAGCCACAAGCACCCTGGATCACCCACACCCAGCAGAAACCCCACTTTGGAAAAATTTCTCCTTTTCTGATAAGTGATTGTATGCATGTAACCAGCTCTCCTGGCAGGTTCCCATGCTGGGTTATCCCAGGAGGGAAATAGAAAAGTAGAACACACGCCATCTGCCCTTTAAGAGGTTATAATCAAGTTAGGAAACAAAAATAACTAACGTGTGTATGAAAGTTAAACAAGAACGTAGAACATTCATCTAAGAAATGTCAGGCAGAGTGTGATTAAAGGCCAAACAAAATGACCCAGAAAATTAGTACTCTCAGAGTTCAAATCAGAATTAGCCCCAACTATTAAGACAGGCAGAGAAAGCTTCCTCGAGGAGGTAGCACTTGAGCTGGACCTTGAAGAATATGGTGAGGCTACAAAATTCTAGATTTCCAGAGCTTGAATGGCCCTTAGAGACATATCGTATTCCTCACTTAACGAAAAATGAAACTGAGGCTCAGAGAAAGAAAGACCTCATAGCAAGTCAGGAAAAAGTTGGTATTAGAACCAAGATTTTCTAGTCCCCTGTCCACTACTCTCACTACTTCTCTTCTCCAGGTGCTGAGAAGGGAAGGATGGTGTTCTAGGTATAAAAAAGGCCAAGAACCCCAAATTCCTTACCCACCCCCCAACACACAAAAAAATACATATACAAGCACACACAGACACACTTACACACATAACCCCCAAACTGATGAGATATCTTTTTCTTTTTTTTTTTCAATACCATGTTACTTTAGCAGGCGAAGCAGATCAGACTAGATTCAAATTCCAGGTCAAACAACATCACCTTTTTATTTCATTAGAAATGGGCAATGCGTTGGTGAATGGCCTCTTTGATGTAATTTGCCATCTCAAAAGCATTGAGGTTGAGAAGCCCTCCCTCTGTCCCTTTTTGTCCCATCAACACAAGATATACAGACTCGATCTGAATGACTGTCACTGCCTGGCTGCCCCAACTCTGGCCTTTGGTGCGGAGGTCCATGGTGTTGTTGCCTTCGGTGTACAGGTTGTCCCGGATCAGCAAGCATTCAGTCCCCCCAAGGGTGATTCCCTGAAGAAACAGCTGCTCTCTCCCCTCTCTCGCCAGCAAGATCTGAATTTCTTCCTGGGTCAGCCGGAACAAGTTGCCTTCAGGATAAGAAGCTAACAACCAGGGTGGAGAATTGGTGACAATCGCTGCAGCACAGCACATCCTACTCTTCAGGAAGAGGGTGACACACTCTTGGCAGACCTCTTGGCTGATGTCCTTTATGCACTGCATGATTCAAGTAAGCTGGCTCTTAAATGATGAATAAAGTACCTTCTAGCAAGTTGATCTTCAAAAGATGTTTGTTGGCAATTGGCTCAAGATGACTGATAAGCAGGAACTGAAATCAGCTAAAAATACAGACTGTTACTGCTGGCCTCCAGTGGAGAGAGGTCTTGGTGACGTGTATGAAGTTAAGCCCCAGCTGCCCTCTGCTGTGATTTATCAAGCCACCTCTACAGCAGGAGTGAGGTCACAGAGGCTCTGTGACTTTTAAACAGGCATCCTCCAAAAGATCATGGGTGACCTTCAGCAGTAGTTTTCTGAGGCTGTATCTCTAGCTAGTGAGATGGGGGGCGTACACCTACTTACTTTCCTAGGATACCATGGGAAGAACAATAACCCCTAATAGTGGAAAAGCCCTCGAAGTAGAACATAAGTGGGCAATACATGAGTTGGAAGTTTGGATATAGAGAAGGACAAGTAAGATATACTGCAGCAGCTAGTAGCTCAAATGCTGGCTAATCTTGCTGAGACCGGAGCTCTAGGTACAAAGTCAAAACCCCCAGAGGCTCACCAATTCACAACTTCTTTTGGGGTGGCCAAAATAGCCTCAGTCTCTCAATTGTTTCTCTGCTTTCTGATTCTTTCCCTCTAGTTTATCTTTTGCCCCACACCAGGCTGTGAATTTATAGTCGTTCATCCTCATCTAGTCCCCCGATGAGTATTTATCAAGCATTAGCTATGTGCCAAAGGCTTTTCTAGACACTGGGTTACAGTATAGAAAAGAAAAACCTCTTGGAGCTGACATCATAATGGAAGCAGATAAATAAATAGAAAACAGTACTATCCCTTTTACTGAAAAGATTTTATAAGTCTAATATTTTCTTCTTCCAGATTTTCCCAGGCTTTCTTTGCTCCTGGAGGTTCACTCTGACTTTCTGACTGTTCTGCAGCCTGTAGCAAACCATCACCTGTGCCTTAATTTCCTCTAAAATGATACCAACTTGCCTTAAGGAGGGAATGTTAGGAGGCATGGCTGAAGTTAATGGTGGAGAAAATCCAGAATAGCTTTGGAAATCTATTTATTCAAAAAATATTTTTTGAGTACTTACTGTGTGCCAGAATGTATCGTAGACTCTGGAGATCAAGAAATAAATCAAAAGTGCCTCCCCTCATGAAGCTGACATCCTAGAGGGGGAGACAAATAATAAATGGAAAAGACATTTATAGTATATCAAGTGGTGTTCCTAACTATGAAGAAAAAGGGTTAGGAGGGTAGGGAATGCTGGGGAAGGAGTGGTGGTGGTCTTATACAAGGTGCTCAAGTAAGGCTTCTCTGATATGGTGACATTTGATCAGAGGCCTGACAGAGATGAGGGAGTGAACCTGTGGCTATCTGGAGGAAGGGCATTCTAGGCAGAGAGAATAGCAAGTGTAAAGGCCCCAAGGCAAGAGCATGTGTGGAATACCTGAGAAACCGCAAAGAGATCAATATCATATAAGCGGTGAGAGAATTGGGTGATAGAAGATGTAGTCACAGAAGTACTGGGCTTAGATCATATGTAAGGCTTTGTAGGCTGTGATTAAGAGTTTGGCTTTTGTCCTGAGATGGGGAGCGACTGGAATGTTTTAAGCAAAGAAGTAACATCATTATAGATTCTCAAGTCTGGATGGTGCTTTGTAGAGAATAAATTCTAGGGAGGACAGGGACAAAACATGGAGACGCAACTGCGACAACAATTCAGGCAAGATAATTAAAGGCTTGGGTGGGGGCACAGGGGTGAGAAGAGGCTGGGTTTGGAGAATGTTTTGAAAGATGAGCTGATAAGATTTGATTATCTGTCAGGCTTGGGATAGGAGAGAAAGAGGATGCCTCCAAGGCTTTTGGCTTGAACAACTGGTAGGACAGAGTTGCCATTTCCTGAGATAAATACTACCCGAAAAGCAGATTTGAGGATGTAGGTAGAAATCAAGTTTGGTTTTGGATATGGTAAGTTTGAGATGCCTCTAAGACATTCGAATAGACCTGTACAGTAGGCTGTTGGATATTGCGTAAGCTAAAGAGCTTAGAGGACAGATCAGGACTAGAGACAAAATATTGAAAGTTCTCTAGAAATAAACAGTATTTAAAGGCATGGGACTGGATGACAGCACTCAGGGAATAAGAGTAAATAGAGAAGAGAACTAAGGTCTGAGCCCCGACAGCACTGCAATATGTAAAGATAGGTGAGATGAGGGATAAACAGCAAAGGAGACTGGGAAAGAGAAGTCTACAGAAGTAGGAGAGTAGTGTCCCCGAAGTCAAGTGCAAAAAAAAAAAAAATTGTATCAAGGGGGAGGGAGCGATCTGAGACAGCTGGGAGGACAAGAAGAGGAGAGAATTGGCAAATAGATTTTGCAATATGGAAATTCCTTCTAACCTTGACAAGGGCAGTTTGGTAGAGTGGTGGGGGCAAAATGTGATTTGAGTTATTTCAAGAGAGAATGGAGGAGAGGAAAAGTAATGGGGGGAAGGGGTGAATTTAGAGAAATCTTTGGAGGGGTTTTGCTATAAAATGCAACAGAGAGATGGGGGGAGGTGGAAGGTAGACAGTAATGTGGGTCAAGGAAAGGTTTTTCCTTTAACTTGGAAATATATATTATAGCAGGTTTTGTGCTGATAGAAGTGATCCGGTAACTGGGAATGTTAGATGATAAAGGAAAGAAGGGACAACTGAGTAGGTAAAGGAGGATGAAATTGAGTGGACAAGTGGAAGAGCTGCGTTAGGGTGATTTAAGAACAGCTGATTCATTGAAGGCAGATTATGTGGGTCCACATGCAGATTTGGTTGTGAGAGGATGTGAAAGTTCCCTTCTGATGGCTTCTATTTTATCAGCAAACTAGGAAGCAAGGTAATTATCTGAGAGAGGAAGAGGAATGGATATTTTAAAAAATATTTTATTGTATTTATTTTTAGAGAGAGGGGAAGGGAGGGAGGAAAAAAGGGAGAGAAACATTGATCAGTTGCCTCTCTCTCATGCTCAAATGGGATTGAACCTGCAACCCAGGCATGCACCCTGACTGGGAATCCAATGCATGATCTTTATAGCTAACTGAGCCATATTGGTAAGGGCAGGGATGGACACTTTAATAATTGGGTTGAGGAAGGAATGGTAACCATCAGTATTCGCTGTGCCATTATGATGTTCCTGTCACCTTATATTGTATATGTTACCTCTCTGAATCCTCAGAAGCACCTTATTAGCATGGTTTTACAGATAAAAAAACTTAGACGCATAGAGGCTGTGTAACGAGGCTCAGGGTCACGTACCATTAGTAAATAGCAGAGCCAAAATTTGAATTTGGAATCTATCCCCCTTTTTACTATCCCAAACAGCATGGAAATGAAGGTTTTTTTTGTTTGTTTTCCTGAGAAACTGGGTGTATGGTGGTAACATTAATAGGGACAGGGAAAACCTGAGAAATAGCAGGTGACAGAGGTGGGAGAATTCAGAGATCAGGAGGAGGGTGTGAAAGATGAGTTTGTTTTTGGCCATTATGCCCTTAATAAGCTAGCAGGAACACCCAAGTGGAACTCTGGGCAGAGGTGGGGGATAGTTGGAAGTTTCAAATTTGAGCTGAGAAGAAAGGTCATAGGATTTGAGATGTAAATTGGGGAGTTCCCTACCAGAGAGTAAGAACTGAACTTGAAGAAGACATCAAGATTACCAAGGGAAAAGAAAATAGAAGAGGAATGAGGACAGAAGCCTGGGAAATGGCTAAACAAGGATAAAGAGGAGCTTGGAGGGAGGCAGAAAAGGAAAAGTTAAGGACACAGGCGGTGAATCTATTTTATAACAAAGTCTAAGTGTTAAAAGGGAATCAACGGCATTAAATGCCGCAAAACAATTGGAGTGTGAGCACAGAGAAGAGTTGTCCTGGGAGTACAACTCGGGTTTTCCAATGCCCAGACTGTTCTTTTTTCCATCATAAGCCTGATTTAGAGAACACCACTGAGTGACTGTGCCTACCTGCACCTCATCTGAGATGTGGTTCAGTGGGCCCTTGGTCCTTTTGTTAGGCACGATAAATAGTAAACCAAGGCAGGAAGGAAGGGAGACATGTCTAACCCATTAATTCAGCAGTCCTGAGCACAGTCCAATAAGATTCCTGGGCATTCCAAACATCACAAGCAAATATAGCGCAGGAGGAAGGGAGTTCCTGAGGCTCTGTGCTGGGAAAGGGAGTCTCTGCAGCAATTTCACTAGGACAAAAAGCCTTCACTAGGCAAGAGAGAGAAAGCCTTTGTAGCTGTATATTGATCTCAAAGTCTAGAAGGGGGAGAAAGAAGGGTACCTAGAAGCTAGTTAAAGTGTAGAACCCCTGAACCCCAAATAGTGGGGACACTCAGATCTGAGTCACTACTTGTAGCCTTTTTGCTCAAGTGCATAAATGAACTTGTATTTCATTTCCACTATATGTGCTATTTCACTTCTACTATACGTGTTGTCTTTCGATTGAATTCTCTTGCACCAGAGGCAAGAACTGAGGAGGCGGGGAAGCCGCCCCCCACCCCTGTCTCCCTGGTAACGCTTTTACCACATCTGTGATGACAGAAGTTGTGACGCTAGTGCAATTGTCCAGGCTGTAACTAGGTTAATGGCAGTAGACTTGTAAAGGAAAAGAGTAAGAGGAGGACATAGTTATAAACCATTAAAAAAATATTCTATAATGACTTTTCCACGGTATTACAGCTAAGAAGCTCCTCCGAAAGCCAGTTGCCACAGAAGTACAGTCAGCATGCTATCTCTGCAGGGTGTCATCACTGTTAACATTAGAGACCAGTAGAATGATATTGATGCTCAGAATCCTTACAGCATCAAAAGATACATGAAAGGGTGCGGCTGCACTCGGATTTGAGACTTAAGAACTCCTGGACCAAACCTGGAGTTTGAATCAGAACTCAGTTCCCCCAAAGAAAAGGGCACTTGCCAGACACCAAAATGGCGGGAGCGATCACGGGCGAACTGTC